CCCATCTCCCACCTCCTACGCAGGCGCCCCCCTCCAGCGCGGGAGGCCTGCAGGAGGCGCACGCCCCCCCAGCGTGGGAGGCTGTTGGGTACGTGCACGGGCGCTCGTGCTGGGCGGGTGTGTGGCCTTTCTTGTGCAGGCGGCCGGCAGGCGCCCACGTTCCCCACAGCCGCCATCCTGGCTCCAAGAATTCTCTCCAGACAAAGTCCACCTTGCGGCAGTGTGGTGGCTTTACTGTACCAGTCTTGAGAAGGGCCGGTGCCCAGCATCCATCCTGGGTGCGGGAATCCATCGGTTCCAGCTGTGGAAGCCTCATGGAGCTGCAGTGGCTGTGCGAGGTGGTGCGGGCTCTGCGGGAGGGGGTTGGGAGCCATGAGACTCACCCATTTCTCCTTGGGAATCCTTGAATTCCTGTTGTTGAGCTTCGATCTTCACTGAGGGCCAGTCATCATCTGTTTTAAGTGTTCAATTATCAATAAGCCGAAGTCTGTGGAAGCCCATAATGGCCCTGCTTTAAGTGGTTCACTGCTCCCGCAGCTCACCACGCTGTCTCTGCCTCTGCCGCCATTTTGGATCCCTCTCAAAACCTTTTCAACCCTTAAAATGTGACCAACTCAAAGTTCTTTAAAATGAAGTACAGCTAAGTATCGAGAGGAGCTTGGTGGCATTGTCTGCAGGGAGTAGTTTGAATCCACCAGCAGCCTGGAGCGGGGAAGATGGGCATGGTCCTCCTATGTGCTTTACAGCTTAGCCTCCTAAAAATCCACTACAGGTCAGCTGGGAGTGCGTTCTGACTCTGCAGCAATGAATTTGAGGAAAAAGAGGAGCTGCTCACTTTTCCAGAATGATTCTATTTAAAAAATAGTGTCAAAGCCCAGAAGCAAGTAATGAAACTAGGAACCCCCAAGTAATAGACATGTTGGATAAGTATCCTTGCCTTCTGTTGGAATGATTTGCCTGAGTTTTGGATGATTATAAATGGAGTTTTAAAATATAAATATCTTAGATATACAGTAAATGTGATGAAGGTATTGTAATTATTTCCCATGACCTCAGCAGACCACTAAACAATGAAGGGCTTAGGAAAATGGTTTTGCCCTTGATTTAAAATTCAGAAACTTAGGACTGTCTGTCCTCAGCAGGCCCTTACTTTCTAGGTAGATTCCACCTATACCTTTTCAGCTCTGCCCAAGTTAGGAGCCCTGTGGTTTAGAGGAATCAGGTGTCCCCTTAGTCAGCATACATTAGTCTCTCTGAGAGGAGCAGTCTGAAGCCTCAACAGTCCATTTTGTCATCAGAGCACTGTGTCCTCTGCACCTGAGTGGGAGTGGATGGTGGTTGTTTTTTCACCTTCCTCTAAACAAAACTTTTTTAAAGCCACAAAATGAATCTTATGCTAAGTTGCAAGAGTTACTTCTTGGAACCCGAGTGAACTGATTTCGATAACCTCGGGACACACAGAGGTACCTGGTGACATACATGGTTTACCTCTATTTATCCCCACAGAGGAGGATTTGGTCTTTGTCTGCCTTTGTCACTTTTGGTGACAGTCTTATTCTAACTCCAAGTAAACATTTACTTATCCTCTCCTTAAGCTAGTACAATATTGTTTTATAGGATTTTGGTAACTTACTGACAAAGAATGGTGTTGCCAACCTTAAGACTTGTGGTTCAAATCCACCAGCTGCTCCATGGGAAAGCGACGGGCAGTCTCCTCTAATGCAACTTACTGCTTTGAAAGCCCCCTGGAGGGTCAGCTTTGAGTCAGTTCCAACTTGACCGTACACCACCATCTCTGTTTTATGGTGAGAGAAGATGTGATTGAGAACTTGATAGTTTTTTATGCCTATTAAAAAAATCAGGTGCTTAATTTTTAAAAAAGAATTGTCAGTAATATGTTTTTATCTTGCATTTTAAAAGGTTGACATTGCTTTGAATGAACAGCTTTATATTAAATTTCAATTTCTTGTAATTTTTACAGTTCTACTTTTGTGGATCAAATAATGAACCTATTGCCCTGAAGTAGAACTACCCTGTCAGGTTTCGAAGGCTAAATCCTTAGACAAGCAGACTTCCCCCTCTTTCTCCTGCAGTGGGCTGGCGACTATGCACTGCTGACCTTTCGCTATGCCCCCCCCCCCCCCACGCCTAAGCCCCACTGCAGCCTGAGGGTTCTTTTTCCATAGCAAAACACACTCCATAAACATTGAAAGTTTTTAATAACCAAAATATCTTAGAGTTCTTAATCCACATTCCTACAAGGACAAAAAGGAGTAGAAAGGAATCAAAGAACAATATGTTAATCTAAAATCCTATCATCAGTGGACTGTAAAATAAGTTTATGTCTAAGCCTACTGTCACTGCATGGAGATTAGAAAGTGTGATCTCTGACATAGAGATCACATGGCAATATCTGCAAGATCTCTTGTATTTGTTGTGAGCCTTGAATCCTCATAAAGCAGTGTACATCATGATACCTATCGTGCTTTTAAATACTGAATATGTACACACATCATGCAGCATATGGAACAGACTAGCCCATTCTTGGGTGTTCTCTGCATGGTTGACAGTGATTTGGGGGGGGGGGGGCAGGGTTTACCGAGGATATAAGAGCAGTTTCATGAACATTTTTTTATTTAAATAGGATCTTTTCCATTAGAATGCTCTTTTGCATCTAAAGCAAGAATTGAAAGTAGACATCCAAATAAGGACAGCTGTGTATGAGCCAGGAGTGACACTGCACTCAGCAGCTAGTGAGACACGATCTCATGCCTGCTTTTCTTTCCCTGTTTGGGCTGAACTCACCAGGACGATACCTGCATGACCCTAGGGAAAGTGCAGACTTTTTGTGTGTGGTGTTTTCCTTTTATTGTGTATGGAGGAGTTGGAAAGATTTGTGTAATTAAGAAGGGGTTGTGGTGGTGTAGTGCATAGTATATTGCCTTGCTAACCAACAGGTTGGCAGCTCACATTCTGCTGGCTGCTCCATACAAAACGATGAGTAGTCACTTGCTGGTGGGATAGTCCTAAGCTGCTGTTACTTAGTTTATGGATGATAATAATAGCTTAAGAGTTTCTGTCTTCTCCTCCCCACCTCCATTTTGCATTTTTCTTTGCTAAATACTTCTTTCCTTTGGAAATTAACTTTTTTCTCTATCCTTGAAAAGGAAAATCGGTGTATATGACTTTTTTCTTCCTCATTCATTCATTGTTGCCCATTTTCCTCCCCACTCACTCCTCCCTCCCCAGTTCTCGTTTCTCTTTGAAAAGAAAAAGAAAATTCTCTCATTGTTATACAATCCTCCGCCCTCTCAAGTCCACAGTCCACTTTACTATGAATTTCTTTTTCTGGAATCTTGACATGAAAATAATACTTCCTTTTAAACAGTTCTCTCTCTCATCTTTTTCAGTGCCGTATACATTATTTATCCCCTCTTTTCTTAGGTTCCCCCCAACCCTGATGTCAGTCCTGTTTTACAGCAGTGGCATTATGTAGTATTTGTCTTTTGTGACTGAGATATTTCACTCAGCATAATGTCCTCCAGGGTCATCCATTTTGTATAATATTTCATGAGTTCCTTATTTTTCAATGCAGCATAGTATCCCATTGTGTGAATATATCACAGCTTCTCTGTCCATTCATTTGTTGATGGACACTTGGGTTGTTTCCAGATCTTTGCTATTGCTAACAAAGCTGCGATAAACACATATGCATATATCTGCTTGGGTGGCAGTTCTGGTTTCTTTATGGTATATTCCCAGTAGTGGAATTGCTGAATCAAATGGTATTTCTATTTCCAACTTTTTGAGAAAGTGCCATATTTCCTTCCATAGTGGTTGCACCATTTTACACTCCCACCAACTGTAAATAAGTGTTCCAGTTTCTCCTAGCCTTGCCAGCATTTGTTGTTTGCTGCTCTGTTGAATTTTGCTATTCTTAAAGGGGTGAGATGATATTTCATAGTTGTTTTTATTTGCATCTCTCTTAGAGCTAGGAATTTGAACATTTCTTCATGTATCTGTTGGCCATCTGAATGTCTTCTTTGGTGAAGTGTCTGTTCATATCCTGTGCCTATTCTGCAATTGGGTTATCTTGTTGTGGCATGTATGACTTTTTAAATATGTGCTTTAAAGCTCTGAGATCAAATTAGATTCTCAACTAACCGTTTAATGACTTTATTCAGAGGTTTTATAATCTGTGTGAAAAGAGTGTAGTTGCTTTACTAAAAGATTATGTCACATCTGTGTTTCTTGCCACATCATTTACAATAGAAGAGAGCTGGACACAACTAAAGTGTCTATCAATGGACAAATGGCTAAAGAAACTAGAGTGCATTCACACACTGGAGCCCTATGTCTTGCTAAAAATGGCCAAGAGTTTGTGAAATACTGTGCAATGTGGATGACTAGAACAAATTATACTGAATAGTGTAAGTCTGTCACAAAAGGGCAATTATGGTCTAAGACCACGAATACAAAGCTTAGGAAAGGTTTACACACAAATAGATTCAATTTTACAGCATTAATAGGAATGAGGAGAGAGAGAAAAAATAATAAACTGGTTGGTATGTTGGGTGATTGGAAATACAATATACAGTAAGAGTTTTGGTTTAGACATTGTAGTTAATTAATTATAATTCGTGGTAAAAAGCAATGTCTAGGGAGCTCTAGTGGCCTAGTGGCAAGACAGTGCATTGCAATCCCAGAGGTACGTGGTTCAAATCCACCAGATGCTCTGCTGGAGAAGGAGAGGCAATCTCCTGTACCAGTCAGATCTGACTTAACGGTACACATAAAAATAATACAATAAAAATTTTTAGAAAAAAAGCGCCATGTCTATGAAATGAAAATGGAAAATGATTGTGAACTTTCAAATGAAGTATTTTAACCATCCTTAGCAAGAATAGTAAGCAGAGCCTGAAGATTCAGGAGATAAAAGGGGAAGGGGATTTATTATATAGCTAATTTCTCATTTCACTCTGCCTTTTATCAACTTTCAGAGCGTTAGACAAACTAAATGGATTCCAGTTAGAAAACTTTACACTGAAAGTGGCCTACATCCCTGACGACATGGCTCCTCAGCAGAACTCCCCCCAGCAGCTTCGAGGTCGCCGTGGGTTTGGGCAGAGGGGCTCATCGAGGCAGGGGTCCCCCGGATCAGTGTCCAAGCAGAAAGCATATGACCTGCCTCTCCGACTGCTTGTTCCTACCCAATTTGTGGGAGCCATTATAGGAAAAGAAGGCGCCACCATTCGGAACATCACGAAACAAACTCAGTCTAAGTGAGTATTGCCAAGTGTGTGGTGGGTGGTCACGTCATCTGTAATCTTAATAACATGGTAAGTTGTTCTGGGATTTGGTATCCTTCTGAATGTGTGCTTATGATCCCTTCTTATACGATACATGGGAATCTGGAAAAGCGTTGTGATGTGATGTGATGTGATATCCCAGTGTTCATTTATATACATCTGGGGTTAATCTCTAAACTCAAAGAGAACCTCCAATTTTCACACCTGAATGGAGGACAAATGCTATTTAATCCACTTCTGATTGGGAGACCTTGTGAACTGGTGGAAAGGTTCTGGGGTTTTCTGTGCCCCCATTTGATGTCTGCCTTAAGTACCTTTAGAAGTAATTTTCTAAATCCAAACCATTTCATTAGTGACCTTAATACACAGATCATTTTTCAGTCTTTGTACTTCAGTAAAGCATTATTCATATTGTAGTTCAAATTTATCCTATGTTTAAGCTGTGGTTAGAATGCTCTTTTTTTTCTGTAGGATGTTAATAATTTTAATAGGCAAGTTTCAAGGGAGTAGAAGATGTTTTTCCATTTAAACATTGGAAATCACTGCTGAGGAGTGGAATGCAGGAGATACATGTTTTTGTTTCCTCTGGTAGCCCAGTGCTCACTGCCTTAGCTGATTTGTGTGCTATGTGTGCTGTGTTTAATTAAGTCCACGTGTCAGTCCATTTCCTTGAGGAACTTTCCTTCTCTTTTTTCTGACTTTCGTGTCTTTCTCTTGGGGCTAGTCCCTCCTGATATGCCTAAAGTTTGTGAGATCAAATGTTACTATCCTTGCTTCTAAGCAGAATTCTGCTTGCACTGCCTCCAAAATGAATTTGTTGGTTCTTTGGCAATCTATAGTATATTCAGAAATTTTCAGCAACACACAATTCATCTTTAGTCTTTCTTATTGATGATCCATCTTCCACATGCATGTGAGATGATTGAAAAATAGTATTAATTTGATCGACTACAGCTTAGTCTTAATGTAACATCCTCATGTAGTACTAGAAATTAAGCCTAGTCTTTTTTTTTTTCTGAAAGTAGAGCCATGGTACTGTGTACACCCTCACTTATATATACATTCCAACAGGTTTAAGAAGATACTTGCACTCAGGAACTATGGCTGCCTTGAGCTAGCCAGCTAGTCTCTTGTGCAGTGCCAGAAATAATGCTAATACGTTATGTGTCCATCCCATCTGCAAGAGTGCTGGTTGAATGCCTTGATCCACCTTTACCTGCAGACACGTTGCAGATGGTTTCCCTTCCTTATTGTGTGGCTGGTTAGAGTTGTTTCTCTTAGCACCACACATTCCTTGTCAGATGAGAGAGCTGCTGTGCTTTAAATTGTACCAGGAAAATAGGGGATGGAGAAAGGAAGTGATTTTTGTTCTGTCCCATGATTCATTTGCAGAGCACTGCCAGGGGATTTAATTAACTCTTGTCACTAACACGAGTCATTATCAGGTGCTGTTTCTGGAATACCCTCAGAGGTCTGCCCTAATCTGCAGAGCAACATTCTCTTCCCCTAGAGCATCAGAATGGAGTAGTGTTTAACAGAATGAAGAGGTGAAAGAAAAAAATTAAAAGAAAGGAGATTAACATGTTACCAGAAGACATTAATCACTTACAATGATTCTGCACTGATTGATGAGTCTTGAAATCAAAACACTTATCCAGACACTACCTTTCTTATTTTCAGTGGCCCTTGTGCCATTTCTACATTGCCCTAAGATTTAGTTGCTGATTTACTTCTGAAGTAAATCTTCATATTCAACTGAATACCCATGAGCAAATAGTGGACACCTTTGTTTCGTTGGTGTGAAGCCATGGTCTTCTTCATGCCATGTTGCTCTTTATCTTCTGAGGTTTCAGTGTCAGAGAGACTTTTGTTAGTACTTGTTTTTTCCTAAAGTATACTTTTTTGGTAGTTATTTTCTCTTTTGTACTTTCTAAACAATAACTTATTTTGTATTCAAAATATACAAGCATATAAAATTTTTTCATGAGGAAAACTGCTTACCTAATGTAACTATGATTAAGTTTGGGGTTCATATGAGATTTATAAACATTAATTAAACATTTATAAAATGCTTAATAACATTTTAACCCAAAAATGAAATTATATCATAGTATGTATAAATTTTTTTTCCACTGAAATAATTTCTTAGCATGATGATGGTTCCTTTAATTTTACTACATGTTCAGAGGACTGAATTATATCAGTGTGCACATAACCACAGCATGAAAAATGGGTTAGCTGGGTCCATGCAGCCTTGGTTTCTCTTTAGCCATGTCTTACTGATGGGCACTTATTTAAAGGTGATTTTACTTTTCCCTCTAGCCACTTTAATTGATGTGCTAGTAGTTCTAAACCAGGGGTCCTTTTGCCCCTTGGAAAAAAATGGCAATGTCTAGAGACATTGTCTAGAGGCAGCTGATGGGTAGAAACCCAAATATGCTATTACAACCCCAAACAGTAAGAGAGCTCTCTTAATGAAGAATCTGGCCTAAAATATCAACAGTGTAAAGAGTAAGAAATTTTGCTACACACCATCCTCTTTTCACATATGCAGATATATCTGGAGGAGATATTAGGAGACATAGAATCGGTCAACAGGTAATAATAATTTCCTTTCTTTCTATTTTGATCTTAAAATGTTTTCATGTCTTAAAAAATACGTTTTAAGGGAGCTCTGGTGGCCTAGTGACAAGAAGCTGTACTGCAATCCCAGAGATGAACAGTTTGAATCCATCAGAAGCTCTGCTGAAGGAGGGACAATCTCCTCCTGTACCAGTCAGATCTGATTTGACGGTACACACACACGCGCACACAAAAATAATAATTTTTTAAAAATACAATTTAATTAGCATTTAAACGATTACTAGTGGCGTTGAACTGGAGTTGAACATAATAATAATAAAAAGTTGAACATAATAATAAAACATAAGTTTTATGTTTATTGGCCAATTGATTTTCTTTGAAGTGGACTTGCCAGCTCTTTGGTTCTGTTCCTCTTACTATTTATAGCAGACTTTCTTCTCTCAAACTGGCACAATATAGAAAGAGCTTAATGAAGGAAATCTGATGAGAGAAATCTGCTAATATATAGAATAGTGGATATGTTGTGTGGGAATAGGACTTTGATCTGGCTTGTGGGATTCCAGCTTCAGCTCTTGTCAGACTCTAATTTCTGTTTGTTTTAGTGCTGAAAAAAAACCTCTTTGACATGAGATATTTCTTCTGTGGCATAAAAAGGAAGCTTTACGCACATTTCAAGTTGGGCAGTATAGAATGTTATATCTGTTTAGTTGAATTGAGAAAAGAGAGGTATTTAGTCGTGGAGTTAAAACTAATTTCTAAGTCATCAAATGTCAACGGTTTATCAAGAGGGAACTGAGTCATCCATCCACTCTTGACTCAGAAGTTCAGTGACTTTGCAGTTAGACTCCCATTGTTACTAACGTGCTTACAGCCCTTTTTTTCTTCCTCCACTTGTGCCACCATAAGGATTGATGTCCATCGTAAAGAGAATGCAGGTGCTGCTGAGAAGTCAATTACCATCCTCTCCACTCCCGAGGGCACCTCTGCCGCGTGTAAATCTATTCTGGAGATTATGCATAAAGAAGCTCAAGATATAAAATTGTGAGTATAGAGCTTTGATCTAAGAAGAATGATTTTGGATTTCTGAACACAGTTTTTGGGAATTGCCAGCAAGAAAACAGAAACGCTGTCCTAGTCACTATAGTATAAACAATTTCAAACAGAAATTTGGTTTTTTGTTTTGTTTTGAAACAGCAGTCTTTTAAACCTTAAGTATTTTTATTGTCATCATGTTAAGAAATGTACTGACGTGTGATAATGAGAAGGAGGAATCTAGATGTGGAAGGCAGTGGTTGGGCGACATGGAAAGTATAAGAAGTAGCACTGGACTTCACCTGAGGGAGTCCTCACTTACCTTTAATGCAGCAGGCACCAAGACTCTGTTCTTGTCTGACTGTCCTACCCTGGAAGGGTAGGAACTAGACAAGGTAGGGGAATTCCCTGTCCTGTGACAAAGGTTAAAAATTTATTGCTATTTCTGGTTGGAGCTAAGTTTCTTTTTCTTTAGACCCTAAATGATATATTAGTACATATTAAATTTTATTTAGAACATATTAAATTATATGTTGTTGGTGTTGTTGATTGCCTTTGAGTCAAGCATGACTCATAGTGACCCTCTGAACAAAAGGCCTAAAGACCCTCGACAACTATCGACATTTATCAAAGTTCATAGATGTATATATGACAACATATAATATTAATTTTTTTTTTTGAGAGAGAGAGAGAAAAATAAAGGTGAGGCCCACCATTTATTTAACCTTGTGATTTTTTTTAAAGTTTACACACATCACGGAGCAAAGTTTACAAGACTTCTTGTTGAATACGAACCTGACCCATAGCTGATCATTCAGTAGGTTTTCAGAGTCCATTAATCGCACAAGAGGAGATAGCCTATCCCTCTCCCTCAGAGCAGCAGGTGGATTCGAACTCCGTGCCTCTGGGATTGCAGTGTAGTTTCTTACCACTAGGCCACCAGAGGCCCCCCTCCTTTTTTTTTTATACAGAAAAATAAAAGGTGAAGCCCACCATTTACTTAACCCAATGACTTTTTAACACACACACACACACACACACACACACGGGGTGTGTGGGGGAAAGAGAGAATAGGACAGGGGACAAAGGTTATTAAACCTCTTAGCTATTACCAAATTCTTTGAGGTCTTTTGTGTTGAGGCTGAGCCTGGATCATCAGACCCATATTCTCAGGGAACGTACTCCACAAAAACAGTACTCTATATCCTACTCTGATGAGTAGTTACTGGGTTCTCAGAAACCTTATGAGTGGCCATCTAAGGTACACATGGAAATGGCTCGTCCATAAGGTTAATGGACAGTGTGAACCCCAGCCTTGATGACTCAGCAACCAGAAGAAACAGATGGTTCTCAAAAGACCACTACTTTTTTCAGCTCTGACAGTGCTTATGACATAGAAGATTCTGGATAGAGTCTGAGGAAAATGTGGAACAGAAAACAGGCCTGCTCGTCTGATGTAACTAACCCCTTCCCACTAAACTTTCAGCAAAACAGTAGGCCTGTAAGGTGAGCAATAACCCCAGGGAGGTAAATACTTCTTAGTACAAAGCACAGGGAAGGAGGTTATTACATTGTAGGCATTAAAATCAGTGCCACAAAACAAAAATGTTTGCCTTGTTGACTATAAAACCAATTAGTTCCATGAACGTCCACATAAATCACAATTTTAAAAGTTCATTTGTTGTTGTGTGAGATTTTTTTTAAAGTAGAATTTCACCAAAGCACAAAAGTGAAAGTTCTGCTCCCTGTTCATAAACCTGGCCCTCAAGTGCAAGCACTTTTGAATTTCTTTTTCTAAATTACATATGTATCTCTAGATATGTATTCTGAAACTTATACTAAATTTATAGGGATTTGCATTTAGTATTTGGAGTTAAGAATGTGGATTTGAGTAAGAGGGATTTGGTTTTGTTTTTATTCATTGTGATTTTAATGAATGTTTACAGAGAAGTTGGGTGTCATTCATCCATTATTGAACATTTTCCTCTCTTCCCCCTCCTCCAGTCCACTTGGCATTGTACCTCTTGTTCCAGATTATTTTGATGCATACAATGCCTAATCATATGTACTTTTTAGACAGCTCTTCCTCTCATCTGTTCCAGTGCAGTGTTCATTATCTGTCCACTTTTTTCCTATTCTCTCCGAATCTACCATGTCAGTACTATTTTATAACAGTGGTGTTATGCAGTATTGGTTGTTGTGTGACTGAAATATTTCACTCAGCATAATGTCTGCCAGTCTCCCCCCTCCCCCCACCCCCATATTGTGTAGTATTTTGGGAGTGGGTTTTTTTAAAAAAAATATATATTTTTTTTCATTGTTGAACATTTTCTTCACACGCAAACTTCCCATTGCGCGGTGTTTTATGAGTTCATTGCTTTTGAATGCTGTGTAATATTCCATTGTGTGAATGTACCATAGTATTTCTATCCATTTATTTGTTGATGGGCACTTGGATTGCCTCCATCTCTTTGTTGTTGTGAATAACACAGTAGTAAACATGAGTGTGCATATGTCTGTTTGAGTCATGGCTCTGGTTTCTTTAGGGTATATTCCCAGTAGTGGAATTTCTGGGTCAAATAATATTTTTATTTCCAACTTTTTGAAGAAGCACCAGACCACCTTCTATATTGGTTGTACCATTTTATCTTACCACCAGTGGTGAATAAAAAGAGTTCCAACTTCTCACAAGCCTTGTTGTTTGCTGCCCTGTTAAACCTTGCTATTGTTACTGGGGCCAAAAGGTATTTTCATTGAGCTAAATGAATCCACTATTAAAGATAGATGTTCCCTAAGTGAATAAAAGAAAAACTTATTTTAAATATTCTATTCAAGCACTTCCTCCCCTCCCCACTCTCCTTTCATGTATTACTGTAACAAAGGCCGAATGTCAGCAAGCTTTAAATTGGACCAAGCACATTATGTTTTCTGTATGGTACGAAGGAAATAAATGAGTAACAATTGAAAGCTATCTTTTTACCCAAGAGTGGATTTATTTACCCTGACTTCATAGCCATTTTTCCATTTACAGCACAGAAGAGATTCCCTTGAAGATTTTAGCCCATAATAACTTCGTAGGCCGCCTTATTGGTAAAGAAGGAAGAAATCTTAAAAAAATTGAACAAGACACAGACACTAAAATCACAATATCTCCGTAAGTATTGCCGTGCTTGCTTTTGAGCTCAGAAGTCACCAAATCCTCATTACTCTTTTTAAAACTACATGCTACATATTTGGTGTAATTTCTCTTACTACTGCCGTCAAAGCTAGATTGTATCTCAGCCCTTAAATCTAGTTTCTCAGTCTGCTCCCTGCTGCCTGGTTCTAATCTATATGGGAAGCACTGTTTCCACTGAAGAAGTGGGGAGAACTCGATGTTTCGCATGACTGCTGCCTGCTTGTGTTCCTATTCCCATGATCCAAGAGAGAGCAGTTCTTTGAAATTCACTCCCAAAGGCAAGATACATAAACCAGTTTATCATCTATTTTTTTATAAGAAGTTACCCCAAAACGTCCATGAACTTAAAAATAGTAGTCTATTTCCTTGTCTAATTTCTTTGGGTTAAAAATACGGGCACTTCCCTGCTGGGTGATTCTGATTAAGAGTCTCCTAATATTGTTAACAAGTCGATGATGGCTGCTGGTGGGTGGCCTGCGGTGCCTCAGCACATGAGTCGCTCCACAGGACTGCTTACGTAAGACATGGCACCTGGTTTCTTTCAATGTGAATGTTCCAAGAGAGAGCGAGATAGAAGTGTAAGGCTTTTCATGACATAACCTGAGAAGCCACACTGTCATTTTTCTAATATTCTTTACACAAGTCAGTCCTCTTCAGAGTAGAAGGGATACTGCACATCACTGGGCAACATCTTGGATGGTGCCCACACCTGTGGCCCATGAGCTTTTTCTAAGGGCATCTATTCTCTTACTATCTGTCCAAGTACCCAGCAAAATGAGATAAGAGATTGGTGAACTGAAGAAGGGGGGAAGGAATCTGAGGCAAAACGTATATGAAGCAAAGAGTTATACAAAGGAGATGACAAAGTAGTAAAGGCCTATTTGATTGTTGAAGAAAATAGGAAATCTTAAATGCAGGAAGAGATTCTGTTCTGTCTTAAATTTTTTGCCCAGAAAGAAGAGCATTTTAAATTATGAGAGACAGTTAAAGAAGAGTGGTGTACCATTATTCATTTATCTCAAGTTTTACCTAAGACATTTTTATATTAGTGAAAATAAGAATTACTACTCTGGGAATAGGGAGAAGAACATACCCCTGTAATGGCCTTTGATGAGCTCCCACTTAACATGCTCTCGGGTGCAACCTCCGTGAGTTGTGAATTTCAGCAGGACCTGGGTAGGTGAGGGAGAGAGAATTCTGAAGATTGCTATTGTAACCTAATGTTTCAGCTAGCCAGGAGGTCATCAGTGGACCTTTCAAAAACTTATTCCAGGGGAGCTCTGGTGACCTAGCACAAGAAGCTGTGCTGCAATCCTGAAGGCGCACAGTTCAAATCCACTAGATCCCCTGCTGCTGGAGGAGGGGCAGTCTCCACCTGTGCAGATCTGATCTGATCTGATGATACACAGCAAGAAAAAAAAAACACCACAGGCTTTTATTTCATCCAAGTGGATTAATTTATATTATTTCCTATGTGGATAAAAAGTTTAGCCACATGAATTGTGGTTTTGCCTCTCTGGAATCTTTCCATGCTGCCTTATTTGTTGATCCAGAAAATGCAATTGCATGAGAGTGTCAGTTTGCTAGGTTTGGTCATAGAGACAAGAAAGATACTTAAGGAAGTAACAGCCCGCTGGGTTTTGGTGACAATACTGTCTTTACTTCGATAATTTCCTGTACACCTGACTATGAAAATTGTTTTAGTGGTCAAGATGTAAACTGTTTCAACAGGGATTTAATTGAACTGTATACACCCAGTACTTTTTTTACGAGGGGGAGGGGCAAAGGAGATGGCAAGTGTTTTCTCTTACAGCTTTATACTTCTTGGATTTATTTCTTTTGAGGCTTATTCATTTCCTATCAGGTTTGACCAGCTTCTGTGGTTGCATAATTATTAACTGCCTTCCTCCTGTAATTTTTCTTTTTCCTCTTTTTAATTCTGCAGATTGCAGGAATTGACGCTGTATAATCCGGAACGCACCATTACAGTTAAAGGCAGTGTTGAAACATGTGCCAAAGCAGAGGAAGAGATAATGAAGAAAATCAGGGAGTCTTATGAAAATGATCTTGCTTCCATGAATGTTAGTTTTAATATGAAGTACATGATGTCTTTATTTTACTTTGTTGTTAAAAGATTTCTTCCATTGCATTAATACTGATTTCTTCAGTGGAATTATCCTAAGCAGCAGCTTCTGCTCAATTTTTAGCACCATTTAGGATACCCTGGAAGGGTATGAGAAATGTAACCTTTGTCATAAGAATTAGTCTTCTTGTGATTTTAATTCTTGTGAATTAGTCTTCTTTGTGATTTCTAAGTCTATATGTTTCCCTGTCTGTGAATTATCTGCAAAAGGTTAGTATCTCCTTTATAATTTGAAGGAGTTTGTTGTGATACTAAAGTTCTGCTTGGATAGTGCATTATTTGTTCTGCTTACTGAAAGGTCGGGGGTTCTAATCTAGCAGCCACTTTATGGGAGAAAGAAGGCCAGGTTCTTCCCAAAGATTACAGCTTTGGGAACTGGATGGAGGGGCACTGTGAGAAGGGACTTGATATTAATGGATTTAATAATTTAGTGTGATAGAAATGTGGACTTTAGAGATATGTGAACTGGGTTTGAATCCCAACATGACCACAAAGTAATTGCAGCTCTGTTTCTTTGGGCAAGTTGTTTGAATTCTGTGAGTCCCAGTTGTAAAACAAGGCTTCATGCTACTTTTCATTCTTTATTAGTTTTACAACAAAAGCATTCTTAAAGATGCCCTTTTACCCCCGCCCCCTGTTTCTCAGTGCCTTTTATATGCATTATAAAGCTTTAGTTGGTTACTCAAATAAGATTTAAAAAGAAAAAGAATCTCCAATGATCAAACCATCTTGACTGTAACTAAGGTTGTTCAAGTGAATTGCTGACATTCCTGAATGAAAATTGAACATATCAGAAATTAATCTTGAATTTTGACATACATAATTGAAATGTTTATAATAATCAAACCAGCTCAACCAAGTCTGTCATCTGAACTACTATGTATAAGAGAAGGGAGAGTCTAGTCATTATATCCTGCATGCCTTCACCTTACCACTGTTTGTCCAAATGTTTCAGTCAGTTGGGTAAAACTAAATTCATAGGCAGCCTCCCCAGCTCTCTTTAAGATTGTCTTGAGTCTCAACTTTAATTTCTATCTTATAAAACAAAACTTAAACCTCTCTTCTGCCTCCTGTACCTGCCCCACAGATTGGTCTTTTTAGTGGCAGCAATTACGTATAGTGGGGTGGGGGGAGCAACAGAGGGGTGGAACATATCAGCAACCCACTGCTGCTGACTCCTGGTGACTGATGGGTGTCCAAGGCTATATCTCTTTACAGGAGGCTGCCTCATCTTTCTCCGCTGGAGTGGCTGATAGATTCTGCCAGTCTTTTGATTAGTAAGCCAACACTCTTAATTCATACCACCAATGCTTCTTATTACCAGAGGACTTGACTTTGTTTTGGATCTTTAAGCCTTACCTTGAGTACCACAGGGAGCTCTGGTGGCCTAGTGGGTGAGGAGTTGCTTTGCCAGCCAAAAAGCTGCTCCAGTCCACCTGCTGCTATGCAGGAGAAGGATGGGCAATAGCCTCCTGTGTGATTTATAGCCTCTCACCTGCTAAGGGTCAGCTGTGAATCAATTCTGACTCTGGAGATGAGGGTTGAGTTGAGTACCAAATCTTACTGAAGGAGTAAAGATATTAATGGACTGGTCTGTGCACCTCATTGGCTGGAAAATTCATCTTGTTTCCCCTTTTTGACCAATACAGGATTTTTTTGGTTGCTTGTACCATAGTAAATATGCCCACAGTATGCAGAGTCCAGGCTTAGTTTTATATTGTGAACTCGGCATGTATGTCCTTAAGAAAAATGTATGTAAAATATTCGCAAGTCAAAGGTGTGTGACCGGGAGTGGGGTGAACTTTCATCACACAGATTTTAAAATATCTCCAAACAAATAAATACATATATTCAAATATAGCCACACTCAACATCTACTCTGTTCTGAAAATTTGAGTCATAAAATGATTTCTCTTTCATTATTAGGGTTGTTAGACATTACAATCTGTCATTTACACTTGGAAAATTAAGCGACCTCTTTGCATTGTAGCTTCAAGCACATTTAATTCCTGGATTAAATCTGAATGCCTTGGGTCTCTTCCCACCTACTTCGGGGATGCCACCACCCACCTCAGGGCCCCCTTCAGCCATGACTCCTCCCTACACACAGTTTGAGGTAAGAAAATGTTCCTTGACTTTTCCTTATGGTTTAGTGGAATGTGAAGAAGGGACATGGCAGGTTTGACTGCCCTCAAGGAGTGGAACGTTAAATACTATTTGGGAAAATCCTGACGTGAAAATTGCTTCCTTGGTGGCCTCTCATCAGCTGAGGGCCAGCACACGTTCTCCAGTTCTTGTTCACTGATCCATCTCATGTGCCTTTTGGTGAGAACAACACAGGGTGAGTTACTTCTTTCGACATTTTGGGTTGGTAGAATTGTCACCAGGTGATTTTAAAAGTCAAAGGAAAAATTTGAGATGAAAGACAGAATGAGAGAAAAATAGCAGAACAACTCAAATTTGTTGATGGTTTTGAAAATACACAGAAACAACAAAAGCCCAGTGTCTGGTAAAGGCTGGAGGAATTGGCATTACTAGTGTTCTAGGTCATTTTCTAATGAGTATGTAATGCTAGTCTCAAAGGCTACTTCTCCATAGAATAATAGCCTGACTTAGAGTGACATCTTTGAAAAATATATTCCCTATGGAAAACCAGAAGGGCAATATTTATCTGGAACCAAAAGTAAAAAGGTAAGAAGGTAAAGGAAATAGTCAAATGGAAACAGGGTGGAAATGAGGAGAATGTTGACAAGCTGCAGAGATACAGCCAATGTTGTGGAACAACTTGTGTATGAGTTACTGAGTAGAAGGAAGACTCATTTGCTGTGTAATCATTCACCCAAAGAACAGTTTAAATGTTTTTAAAAGGATGAAACTTTGGGAATTAATTTTAACAGGGAAGAGGAAAAAGATAAGTTTTTGGGTGGTTGGGTTTTTGTTTTTGTTTTTTGTTTTTAAATATTTTTTTTTATTGGGAAAAACATATTGGGGGTACAAGGAGGTGAAGATTGGGGGCAGAAGGGTGAGGATGGGCCAGGATGCAGTTGCAGAGCTGCACAGTTTGGTCGGTGGG